CTGTACCCAGTCTGACAGTTCTAGAGGCATTCGATCAGGCTTCTTTCTCCACTCCTCATTCAAGTTCATGGATCACTTCTATATTGCCAAATCCAGTGGTGACTTTCCCCTTACTTAACCTCCCTGAAGAATTTGACACTCACTTTTCTTTGTTTGGTACTAGGGTTTGCACCCAAGAGTGCTTTACAATTAAGCTACATCCTTGGCTCTTTTTTATTTTGAGACAGTCTTGCTAAGTTGTTGAAGGCCTCCCTAAGTTGCTGAGGCTGGCTGTAACACTCTTCACACACACTGCCATCTCTCGCCTAGTCAATGCATCCTTCCTGACTTATCCTCTTGCTTCCTCTCTTGCTCCCCTTTGCAGTTCCTTTGCCACATACACCGTGGCCACACTGAGCTTTTAAAAATGCAAACAACCTGTGTCTCATTTGAGTGGGAAAAACCAAGCAGCTTCCTCACTCACTCAGCATAAACTCAGTCCTCATACCCTGAAAGARCTGGTTCCCGCTTATCTCTCCCCTATAACAGTCCAGTTATTCTTCTTTTTCTTAAACATTGCCAACCTCATTCCACCTTAGGCCTTTTTAGGACCATTTCCTTTGAAACTTTGGGCCATGTCTTCGCTTGGATGGTTTCTCTAGAGTTTAAGTCTCATCCTGTCTCTTCTGAGGCCTTTTCTTACCCCCATTCTAAATAGGCCTCCAAGTCACCCTGTGCCTTTTATTTGTAGTGTAGTGCTCATCACCACCTGATAGTCTGTTATGTCTGGTCTGCTCTTCCCCYACATGCACACTGGAGTGTTGCTTCATGAGAGAGAGGGCTCTTTTCTATCTGGTCAGCAGGACAGTCCCAGGATACATTAGCACATAGCAGGCACTCAGCAAATAGTAATGGGTGATTGAATAAGTGAATGAGTAAAGCAGCTACTTTCTTTTTTCTGAAGGGCTTGCTCTCCTCCTAGGTGAGCTTACTGTGTCTGGTCTTTGGCTTTCAGACTGGTCAAGCCCAGCAGTCCAGCAGCTCTCAGGAGTCACACAGACCTGTGCCACCAAGTCCCTGGGATTGGTATGGAGGATGAAGGAGGGTATATGGAAGGGAAAAACGGTTTGCTTCTGAGGTGACGTTTGAAGCTATTTCAAGCTAACAACACTGAGGAGAAGTCTGAAGTTAGGCCTCACCCTTCTGTGTGAACTGTGCAGGGGCTGCCTGGCCTCTCTTGGTCTTTTTGAAAATGGCAGAGGCTTTGTTTGGCTGTCCCTTTGCCTCTTAGCCTCTTATTTCCCACTGGGGTGATAATTTTTCTTTTTCCTATGCAAAGGTAACCTTGTCATTAGCCACAGGGAGAACATATTCCAAGTGAGGCCTTGCATACCCTATGACACTCTTTTTTAGGACAAGGTGGCTTACTTCTCCTACCCGTTCACATTTGAAGCTCTCTTCCTCCATGAGGATGAATCTGCTGGTGAGTAGCTCAGCAGTTGATCCTGGATCTTGGTTCTCCAGGCCTGTGCTCTCTTGGTGAAKGCCTATGACCTGGACGCTTCCCTTGCTTGTTCCCAGATGCACTCCCAGAGTGGCCTGTGCTCTACTGTGAGGTCCTCTCACTGGACTTCTGGCAGCGGTATCGTGTGGAAGGCTATGGAGCTGCGATGCTGCCTGCCACCCCAGGTAACCTCTTGTCCCTGCCCTTTAGATGGCCCATATGCCCCAGGTCCTGGGAACAAGTCTAACATTCCCAAACGGTTTGAATGCTACTGGTGAGAAGTAAGAATAATTAGGAATCAGAAGCATCTAATCTGAAAGAGTCCTTGTTCCTTTGAGGAATTTCTTCCCCTTCCATTAGAGACAGCTAAGTGAAATTAGAGCTAGCTTTCCTGGGACCGAGCAATCTGGTGGTCTCTGTTATGTGCTCTGGGCTCCTCTGGTTGGATTTACAGCCTCTAGGGAGAAGCTGTGTGGTAGGTGGGCTCTTGGCGTTTGTTTAGCCAATGACTCAGCATTTGTTTTTCAAATAAAAACCATGGTTAATGAGTGCCAGACATCATGCTAAATGCTTCTCATTCTCCCAACCACTCAGTAAGGTGTAGGTGTTGACATTATTTCCATTACACTGAATGAGGAGAAAAGGCTCAGGAAGGTTAAAAAACTTGTCCTGGCCACACAGGTGAGCACCTACAGAGGTACGATTTGAATTTCTGTCTGATTGGTTTCCAAGTACATGCTGTTAACCACTGTGATATCATACATCAAAGGTCAGGTTGTCATTGACCAGGAGTGTGAGCAGCATCAAGGCCTGTGTCATTGCTGGGGAGCCATTGAAGGGCCACATGCCCTTCACAGATCTGGCCCCATTCTCTTCCCTTGCCCAGGCTCACACACCCTGAGAGTCTCCACTTGGAGGCCTATGGACCTTGGCCCTGTGGCTGAGCTGAGGAGATTCTTCATCGGTGGTTCTCTGGAGCTAGAGGACCTGTCCTATGTGCGGATACCAGGAACCTTCAAGGTGACTTGCCTCAGGGAGACTTTATGTTGGGAAGTTCTGTTCCTATTTCTATTCTGTAGAAGGTGGGGTCTGGGTTAAGGTCACTCTCTTAGTTGTTCATCACTTCACTATTACTTTGACCCTTCTTCCCGTGGCTTAAACTGGAAATCGTGGCCACATTTTGAATGAGGTACAGATATGTACACTGCCATCCTAGCAGGTCTCTTAGAGATTTCCTCTGGTCACTGTCGGAAGATCTGGCCCCTTCTTCCTCCTATTACTGAAGGACTCGGTAATCAGATGTGATAAGGAGTCAAAAGGGACATGTAACCTGCTATTCTCAATAAGSTTGTAATACTCCCTGAGTTACAGTTAGGAACATGGTGCTAGCCTTGCAGTATATGAATGGGGGCGGGGTCTGAATGATGGAATGAGGTTTCCCAACAGCTGCTCTCCCCAAGAATGAGGATAAGAATGGCAGTGAGGTTAGCAAGGCTCTGAGGGTCTACAGTCTACTGAAACTGATGCTGTTTCTACTATGTGCCCCAGGGGGAGCGCCTGAGCCGCTTTGGACTCCGCACAGAGACCACAGGCACCGTTACCTTCCGTTTGCACTGTCTGCAGCAGTCCAGGTAAGTGACCCTGGACCTCTGCCTCGGGCACCTCATCCCTGAAGGCTGAAGAGCAATGTGGCCATATGATGGGCTTCCCTGCAGGGCCTTCATGGAGTCGAGCTCCCTCAGGAAAAGAATGCGGAGTGTGTTGGACCGTCTGGAAGGATTCAGCCAGCAAAGTTCCATTCACAATGTGTTGGGTAGGTTCCTCCCTCCCCAGCTGCCACCTAGAGTCAGAGGGGCCCTGTTCCTTCCCACACCTCACTATATGCAACATCTCCTTTCCTTGCAGAGGCCTTCCATCGAGCCCGGCGCCGCATGCAGGAAGCCCGAGAAAGCCTCCCCCAGGACCTTTTGAGCCCCTCAGAAACCTTGGTCACCTAGCTCACTGCTGCTGTGGCCTCTGGCGCAAGAGGACAAGACAAGGGATATGTGAGGCTGGYGTTCTCCTGTCTCTTCATCTTTCTTAAAAGAGACCACATTGGCCTGCCAAGAACTGGAAGAGCCTGGAAATTCCTAGGCTGGCCCCTCTGCCTAGTCTTTATCAGGGTCCTCTTCCTGCCATGTAGAAAGAAAGCAGGAGCCCTATGTGGCCCCCTCTTTATATTTTAGCTCCTATAAATGGACATCACAACAAGGCAGGCTTTTTGGTCAGAAACTGGTTTGGATTGACCCCATAACCTAACCTTGACACAGCCTCTTTTCTGGCTTGTCACATAGTCTCACTAGCAGAGGGTTGCAGAGATCTCTGGTTTCACAGCATTTAAAAATGAAGGCTTCTTTCTTTCCAGAAAGGAGGAGGGTAAAGAGAGATCTCAAATCCCTGGCTGGTGAGTTTCAGGGCAGCTTCATTCTACTGCTTGGGGCTTGCTGAGTTTAGGATATGACTTATTTATGGAATGAATGAAGGCTGAAGGCAGTTCCCAATCCTTTCTACTAGATGGGTGGTATCTATTATTATGGTTTTTGCACATAAAAACTATTTATATTGACTGAAGTTCTGTGGCTATTTCTCTGCTCAGGTTGCCGGCCTGATTGAGCTATTTGTAATGTTGGCGCCCTAATGCCTCCACCCTTCCCCTTTCCCTTCTTTCCCTGATCCATAGTGTTTCTTTCAGCTCTCTTAATTCAGCCTCTAGGAGTGACTTCAAGATGAGTGCCAGCTTGCATCTTAGGAGTGCTCCTCTTCAAYATCTGGGCAAAGCTTAGGACTGAGTCCTCACCCTCCCCAGCCCAACACAGAGACAGCAGCCCCTGCCCTCAGCAGTTTTATTGGTTGAAGCAGAGAAGAGCCTGTAGCATACAGGGGATTGTGGGGTGGCTAGATGCTGCGACTGTGTGGTCTCCAAGCCATGGTGGTAGTGGTGGGGAAAACAGAAGAAAACTCTGGAACCCTCCAGCTGACTCTTGCCAGGACCTCAGGGCCTCCTGGCTTGACCCACAAGTCCTAGCTTGTGGCACTGATTCATAATACTTAAGAGGCTCCCAAGGTGAGTCGGTGCATTACCACTAAGAACACCAACTCACTCYCAGCCAATGAAGCCAGCTCTGAGCTGTCGCCATCAAAAGCACCAGCAGGAAATAGTTGCTCCAGGGTGGAAAGAATCATGATTGTCCCCATCCCCTTGTCTCCGAGGTTTGGGGGCTTGTCATAAACTCCTGTGGAAACAGCAGAATTGGATAAGTGAGGAATTTACTGGGCATCCAGGAATGTGCCATTTTAGGGCATTAGTGACCAAACTGAGGAYACTTCATAATTAACCCCCAAAGTCCTAGGCTCTGAGATTGACCATCAGTGCAGAAACTAGCACATTGGGAAGCCACTAGGAAAAAGTCCCCTGTCCCAATGACAAGTTTTGTTATTTCTGCTTAAAGGCCTGAAAGAACTCAGCTATCCATCCAGGGATGGACATGAGGGCCTCACCCTTCCCAGACCTCCCCTTACCTGCAGAAGCCTCATTTGCCTCGCCAGGCTGACAGGTTCAACTTGGGGATTTGTCTGCAGCTCACAAAGCCCTTGGGGTAGATGTTGGCCCTGAAGATGTCCCTCGAAACGGTGGTGATACCGGTGTTGTCACATATAATTCGAGATAAGGAAATCTGGCTCAGGGCCCTGCGCTGTCTCTTGGTGAAAACACCCCATTTCTGCCACCAGAACCTACCAGGAGGTCAAGAGATATGGGAGAATGAGCACCTGTCTGTGCTGGGTATTTTATATACAGCATTTCCTGCACTTCTCACAACTTTCTGCAAGTTTTATAAATGAAGAAACATACTCAATGATTAAATAAATTAYCCAGTATTAAGTTCACAGTAACTTATGTGGCCAGGGCTGGATATGAACCCGGGCAGATGCCACATCCAAATATGGAGTTGGCTATTAAGCCATAGCTTATCGAAAGGAAACCAGATTTTGCTCYTTTCCACTAAGTCTCTGGGATCTGCTACCCAGGACAGTGAGGCTGACAAGTCTCTCCTAGGATTAAGGAGAGACTTAGGCAATGTCAGCCTTGCTAGGTCAGGTTCTCTGTTCCTTGGACCCAGCTTTGTAGGGAGGAGCCTCATAGTCTTAGATCTCGTGAACTTGAGTGAAATGCAGCTAAAAAGAAGCCCCTTTCCTCTGTTGTTTAGTCATGGAATTCTAATGTTTTTCTGCTCTGCCTCTGGTGCTGATGTCTTGTAGTGTGCATCACTTACCTGTCTCCATCTCGGGCTCTTCTGAACTGGTTCTCAAAAAGACAAGCCAGAAGAGGCCCCACTCGGGCCCCCGGCAAAAGAGGCTCTGCAATGGCCCCGATCCAGATGTCAATGTTGTCGGGCGTCCCGTACAAATTTAGAAATTTCCTTGCCAAATCATGGTTTTTCAGCACCCGGCCTAACTGTGCCAGGTTCCGGGGCTGGGAGAGCCCACAGAAGCGCCTCCAAGCATTGTAACCTGTGTGGGAGAGGAGAGAATTGGCCTCAGCTGTGTTGATCTCTCATTAACCTTTTTCCCCACGAGTTCTCCAGAGACAGCTATGGTCAGTCAATATTGGGCCAAACAAGAAGATCCATGGTGGTTCAAACACCAGATCACTGTCTTTAATTTAAAATGCAAGTGGACAGCAGGGCTTTGTAAGCATCAGACTGAGGGATGTGTCTAAATGTAAAGAGCTGTTGTAATCAAAAACAACCGCAAATCTGACATTTAATGATATTATTGGGTGGATGTACATTAGTTAGGTACAGTACCCAAAACATAAAAAACTCATGTTTGTAGAATGAATGAATGAATGAATGAATGAGCAAATAAATGAGTGAACAAACCAACAAATGAAAAGCGTGGATAAATTTCACCTACTCAGAAAAGGACCTCACACTGAGTAGCCATTATTACAAAGTGCGTTTTGAGGGTGATAAAAATGTCATGATGTTAGATCATGGTGGTGGCTGAACAACTCAACATACTAAAATCACTGAATTATGTACCTTATATGGGTGAATTTTATGGTGTGTTAATTATATCTCAATCGATTCTTAAAAAGGTTTTTATGTAAGAACCTTCCAGAAACTAGTGACATTGATTTCTCAGCTATCAGGATCCTACACCGGGATCAAGCCATGTGATATGCTGTGGACAATCAAGTTGAGAGGTAACTTTGCCATGACCTGAAGAAACACCAGCTCCATATCATCAGTTGAACTACAACTCAGAAACACTGTTCCCCAGCCAAACAAAGGACAACTGTACAGTGTTTATCATTACTCAGCACTGTTGCTTGAATATTTCTTGGGAGCCCCCAAAACTGTGAGGTGCTTTTATGGTGTGTTAATTATATCCAGTCATTTAAAATCAAGCAATCATGACCTGTCCAAAGTCCCTTCACTATCAAGATCATTCAATTCCAAATTTGGTGTTGGACTTGGGAGGAGACTGCAAGAGCTGCCATCTAGGTAATATTTCTGAGATGTCATGGAAGGAACCAATATCAGAGGGGAACAGAAAGTCACTGAGACAATTTATGTGGCTAGCAATCTCAGGCCTCCAGCAGGGGGCGCCCACAGCTCCTTAGTTGTCAGGAGCACCCAAGGTTAAGGAGGTAAGAAATACTGAGTGCCTGCTGTGGTGAGTGCAGTAGACAGTAGCAAGTTCCCTGACTCCTTCATGCATAATGAAAGATCTGCTGGGGTGATGGGGCTTCAGGTTCTATCTATACAGGAGGTAGGAGACAGGGAAGGAGGGAGGGGGAAGGCAGTGGCTGAAGGCCTCCCCAAAGGAGTTGAATGGGGTTGACAGTGGGAAGAAGGGGGGACATTTGAAATTTAATTTCAAATTTTTATTACTTCTTACTTGTATTACCTTGGACAAATACTTAGCTGTCTCTGAGCTTATTTTCTCCTCTATAATGTGGGAGTTATAGCTGCTTGTCAAGGTCATTAGGGGGACTAAATAAGTTATATAAGAAAGTGCTTATTCTTTCTTTTTTCCTGGTATAGTCTTTTATCAAACAACTAATGCAGCCTTAATTTTATTCCATTTGTTCCTTGCCTCTAGGCTTTTTGACTTTTACCCCACCGGAGCAAGGAGCCAGTTTCYATAGCTTTGGAATTGTACCCTTTCTCCTTGGAACTTTCCAGAGAGGTGGCGATTGAAGCAGTCCTCTGCTTTTTATATCTACCACTTTTCTCTACTTGGAAAGTCCTTATCTCCTTTTTTCCAGCTCCTGCACTCAAATCCTTGTCCTGTGGTGAACCTAAAGCTGGAGGCCCTACAGCATATGGGGAGGACTTGGCAGGATGGCTTTCAAAGGCTCCCAGGGGTGCTTTGGTRCATCAGCCTCAGCCTTGGGTGCTCTGCACCTCTGCACATCCTGTAGACAGTTCCTGTCAGAAAGAGGCTCCCAGGTCTTCTCTGAACCCCCTGAGCAGCCCATACCCGAGTGAAGCCTGTGAGGAGAGACAGGCATTCCCTTACCTGGAAGGCCGTGGTCTCGGCTGCGTTGCATGTTGAGAGCCGCCAGGTCCAGCCCAATCCTTCTCACTTGCCTAAACAGTCGGTCCCGGAGCTCATCCACCAGCATAGAATCTTGACGGTTCAGCTTTGCTGGAGTAGCCATGAGGCCTCGGAGAATGGGGTCAATGCCACCTGGTGGCGGAGAGTGAGAGCGGCACTGATTGGACCAACCTTTGAGAAGCCCCTGATGCCAAGCTAGCTAGAGCTGCACAAGCCAGTTGCATATTTTCTAATGTTTGTTAGAACCTCTGTGGGTGGACATGAGGGAGCTGGAGCTGGGAGGGATTAACCCACTTCTTAAAAGAGGGATGGTGAGCTCCTTGCAGGTCCACAACGTGCCATGCTAACATAGGTCTCAATCCCTTCATCCCTCAGGGCCTGGGAGGTCCATGCTTGAGGGTCTTGCTGGCCCTGCCTTTTCTCCACAGTCCTGGGGAGACATTAGCAGCAGCCTTCGAGGCAGCCTGGCCTCCTGGCAGTCAGCTGGACCCACCTGGGGGAGGGAGTGCTTCCCACCCTCTCTTGCTTTGCCCTARGAAAGCCTCACCCTCATGCACAATTCTCCAGCTGGCAAAGAATGCGGAGCTTAGTGGAACACGGGAGTTGGGTGCTGAGGCCCGGTATTGGCTGTCCAAGCGGAACATGAAGGGCTGCAGCATGGTGTGGCCAAAGCGGAAGGCCAAGGTGAAGACATTGGCCACGCGTGGGTCCACGTTGGAGCAATACCCTCTGTAGGACCCCAGGGTTCTTCTGGCCCGGGCCTTTCCCAGAACTAAGGGCAGAAAATCCCTGTAGGTGATGATCTGGCAGAGAAGACATACAAAGAATGTGTCCTGAGTGGCTGCCCAGTCTACATCTGGCCTTCAGAGGGACTCATGCCTTCAAAGGGTTGCTCAGACATAGCAAGTCATTATGATTATCATGTCAAATTTGGCAATGTTAATTTCCCATTGATAGGTGAGATACCGAAGGCCAGAGAGGTTGAGWGTCATGGACAAGGTCATAACTAATTAGCAGCAGAACCCATGGTAGAGGTACCTCCCAACCCCAGTCACTCAGACCCACCCTTCCCACACCCCACCCCCACCCCCTACCCCCATCAAGGCACATCCCCAAGCACGTGCTGAGAAAGGTGGAAGCCACTCCCTCAGGTTGCGCCTCAGGCCAGGTTGTTTTCTGGGGGATGCTGGAACCCAGGGTCCCCTACCTGGACCATGGCCCCCACAATCTTCCGAGCCTCATTATACAGCTTGTCTCCAGTCCAGCGAGGATTGAGGCGTCTCAGTTCGGTGGCCAGCCGGTTATGCTCTCGCACAAAGAGGGTGTGCATGGACGCCAGTTTGGGGGTTTCAGTTGATCGAGAATCACCTTGAAAAACCCAAGTTCAGAGTTGCCAAAGCCCTGCCCAGAGAGAGTCTTTGTGCAAGGGTAGATGGAGGTCTGGGGTCTGGGGAGATGGAGTGAGCCTAGCTCTGCCCTCACTCCATCTTCCTTGATTTGCCATGAGGCTCCTCACTGACCACCACCCTCCTCCCAGTACTACAGCCCAGGAGGGGGAGCAGAGTGGGGTCTTGGGTCCCTAAGTGGCTGGAGAGGTTAGGGCCAGGCGAGGAGCACAAGGCAGCTACTTGTTCTCAAATGGAGAGAMCTTTGCCTAATGATTCTATGTACAAACTGACCAGATTCATAGCCCAGGACAGCKATGGTGGGAGATCTGGAGGCCTCAGGGAACCTTGACTTTGGGACTGCATGCCTGTCTATCTGCAGCTATCTGCATATGCTCTACCAAGGGCTGTATCTTTTTCCATCTTTGGACTTGGTTACATGTTGCTCTCCCCAGGAGGTCAGAGGGAAAGAGAAAGAAAGGGAGAGTTGAGCAGAGCCCTACCCAGACCAGARCAAGTAAATTCAGTCATCTGCTACCTTCAAACAAAGCCTTGTAGCAAAAGTCTTGTTAGAGTAACAAAGACTTCTTATGAATGTACACACTGCTTCTTGGAGGAAACAAATGTACAATTCTTACAAGGCAAGCTGGAGCCACTGGCCTTGAGGCAAGCAGTGGGCCAGAGGAGACTGCAGAGACATGGGAACTATACTGGCTTTACCTGTGGGGGCGCTGCCATTGGAAACTCTTTRCTTCTCCTCCCTAACTCTCAGCTTCTCATCTGTAACATGAGGGTGATAGTTTCTGTGTTTCAGAGCTGCTGTGAGGTTTAGAGATGGCCCACTGGAATATCTTGAATAACTGGAAACAATTCCATGATCATTACAACCACACACATGGGGGCAAAGACTTGGAGGAGAGTTCAAAGTATGCATCCAGAGGAAGGACCAGGCCACAGTGTCTAATAAGTGTGTGGGTGGGTGGGGAACTAAGAAAATTTAGCCTAGAAAAGAAAAATATCTATGTGTAAGTAACAGGTCCTTTCAGGTAAGTAAAGGGGCTCTTCTCTGAGGTTCCAGAAGCAAGACAAAGAGCAACAGGTCTAGATATTGGATCAAAATAAGGGGAACCCTTCTTAGAGCCAGTGGAGCTGCCTGGGAATAGGTTGTGATGCGTATATAGAGTGAGTCCTTCATCTCTGGAAAGTCGATCAGGGAGCTCTGGATACACACAGGGATTGGCTAAGGGACTCCTTCCAACTGACTGACTGACTGATGACCATACTCAGATATATGGTGTGAACACTGAGGTCCCCATCCAAGTCCCCTAGCCCACTTCCCACCACGACTTCCCAAGACATCATCTTCCCCCAAGTCCAACCTGCCAGGAAGCAAGGGATGCGTGCAGAGCGATTGGTAAGGAGACAGGGGTCGTCTTGCAGGTTGTCGAAGGGCAGCAGGGCCCTGCCATTGTCTTGGAAGCGCTGGTTGACCGCCAGCAGCCCTAGGTAGTTGGTCCGGTTGCGGAGCCGAAGGGCCAGGGAGACCTCGCTGCCATACACCATGCTGGCGTCCACAAAGGAGGTGAGCGCATTGATCTGGTTGCGAACTTTGTTCCTGTTTTGGGGGCATGAGGGTGCCGAGCGGAAGAAGGGGATGCAGTCACGCTGGTTCGTGATGCGGGGATCATTGGGTGGGATCTGAGATGGAAGAGAAGTCAGTCACACCGGCTCGCTCCTCTTGGTCACCACCTCCCTGGAAACCTTGCTCGAAACTCCTCCCTCCAGGAAGCCCTCCTTGACTCCCTCTGACTCCCTCAGACTCCCGCTGCTTCAGTTGGAGTGTCCTTAGCAAAATTTTTATCACAGTCACAAAAGATTAGGAACGCTTGAGGCTTTTGAAATTATTTAGAGCCTCCTCTTGCAGGTGGGGAAACTGAGCTTCTCTGAGGGGGGATGTGACAACCATTTGGCAGGAGAGATGGGATTAGAATTTAGTTCTGACAGTTCAGCCTGTGCTCCTTTAATACCCAGCAGCTGGACAGACACTTCCTAAGCTCCTTTCTTTTCAGGTGCTTTGGAGACGATGAAGGTCTAAAAACTCAGTACAGGCCTGGCACAGTGACACATGCCTGTAATCCCAGCCACTGGAGAGGCGGAGGCAGGAAGATCACGAGTTCAAGGCCAGCCGCAGCAATTTAGTGAAGCCCTAAGCAACTTAGCAAGACCCTGTCTCAAAATAAAAATAAATAAATAAAAATAAAAGGGGCTTGGGATGCATCTCCATAGTTAAGTGCCTTTGGGTTCAAACTCTGGTACCAAAATAAACAAGCAAAAATCCTAGTGCTGGAGGCAGGAAACTGACAGTGCAGTGCAAACACGCACAGCTAAGTAACCAAACTGAGGGGCATTTGCTATGCTTGATATAGACCTGAGAAAGCTCTGCAGAGGAGGTACCTGCACCAGGGCTTAAGGAAGGAGTGAGGTGACAGCAGGAAGTACTGTGTCCCCCTCCACTCCAGCAGACTCTGTCTGCTCCCTGGATTCTAGATTCTTCTCTTTCTTTTTTTTTTCTTCTTTCTTTCTTTTTCCTTCCTTCCTTCCTTCCTTCTTTCTTTCTTTCTTTCTTTCTTTCTTTCTTTCTTTCTTTCTTTCTTTCTTTCTTTCTTTCTTTCTTTCTTTCGTGCCTATGCCCCACATCTTCCTTGCCTTCTGGCTTGAAGGGTAGAACCCTGCTCCCAGCCCACTCAGGAGGTGCCCAGGGCTGCAGGGCCCTTGGACCACCCAGAGGAGAGAAGGACAGGAGCCAAGAGACCCTAAGAGCTTCCAAAAGTAGAAGTTTCTGCTATTGGAATCAGCCCCATGGCAGAGGCCTATCTCCAATCAGTCACTCCATAGAGCTCTGACCTTCTGGCACGTTGCCCACTGCCACCCTGGTCTATGCCCAGCTGTGTTTCTTGGGGTCTGGATTACACCCCAGCTCCTTCAGGATGGGGTTTCAGCCTCTCAGATCCCCACCTGCAGTCCACTGCCTGAGTTGTAGGCCTCCACAGGGGCCTGAGTACCTTGATGGGAAAGCATGGGGGCAGCTGGGCACAGGTCTTCTCACAGTCAACGCCTGCAGTGAAGGATATTCTGGCTGGAGACTCAGGGGAGAAGTCCAGATCATGATCAATGAACTGGCCCCACTGCATGAACATGAGGGCCCGGCCCCGGTCAGARGCCAGCCTCTCATTGGGGAAGCGGACGATCTGGTTGGAGACAGCCCGGACCTGTGGGGAAATAAGGTCAGCAAGGGGCTTGGACAGCTSATCTACAAGGTGCTGGAGCCAACCCAAGACTCAGGTGAGGGCAGCAGCGCCCCCTGCTGGAGCTGATGCAGCCTCTCCTCCTCTTCTGCCCTGAACTCTCCTGTCCTCCTGTGTCCCAGGAGATGTAGCCCTCCCTGTCGTGGCCATCATTCCTAGAACTCTGGTCTCTGGCCTAAATCCTGAGAAGCCCAGCAGTAAAGAGAAGGAGAGGGGCAGGGTCAGTGACTCAGACTCACCAACTCTTACACAGTGGTAAATAGAGTAAATTGTTAGATTGACGTATAGACCGGTAGATGATAGAACTGACTCACAGATGTGTGGACTGGTTTTAAGGGGGTAAATAAAAAAGAGAGAACTGGCTAGATAGATGGAAGGATCAATAGAAGAAAAATTTACAAAGATATTGATAGGGGGATAGATGACAGACTGTCATTTTGACATATGAAGGGAAAATTGATAAACATGAAACAGATTCAACCAGATTAAGGTGTATAGTGCTTTATGCTTAGCAAGATACTTTGCCACTAAGTCTCTCTGAAAAGAAACAATTAATATTGTTATGGCTAAGATTAAGAGACATGTCTTTATATGACTTTATTTAATATTTGTGCTAACTCTCTGAGGCAGCATTTTCTGCCATATTATAGATGAGGAAACTGAAACACAGGAAGTGATCTTTTTTGTCCAAAGCCCCCCATGTGGTGAGCAGGAAACTCTGAGTTTGATTCCTGTCTGCCTCACTCTGGGCTGTTTTACTCCCTGTATTTAAAAGAGATGAAGCAACCTCCAGACCCTCCACCCTGACTCACAAGAGGGAGGAGGAAACCATTGCGCTTCTTGCCAGGGGTCCAGCCGAAGGGGAGTGACAGTCTGTCTTCATACTCAGCTGGCAGCCAGCGGGCCAGGGCCTGGTTGGAGGCCCCCAGCCAGGGTCTCTTCCTGTAGCCGTGAATGGGTGGGATTAGTGGGGTTCAGGGACATGGAGGAAGGCAGCGGGGAAGGTGGCCCCTGGCACCCACTTGTTGTTACATCTCCCAGTGATGGTGCGGTACTTATTGCTGCACTTCTCAGCCTGGTCCTGAGGAGCGCAGCCAGTGGCCCGGGACAGCAGATGCAGCTGATGTTCCGTTAGCACATCTGGAGGACAAGTGGGAGGAGTCCTGAGTCTGGAGTCCTAGCTCCTTTCTGAGCTGGCCTGCTCCATCCCTTTACCATCCCTCCTCCCCAGGGCTGTGCACCCGCCTCTAATCCTGGCTTCCTTCTACCTCCAGCCCAGTGCAGGCCCTGGGGGTTCAATGGAGAGCATAGTACCAGTGACATTGAAGGGTCTGGATGTCCAGGGTTGTAACTTCTCTTCCAGTAGCCCTAAGGCCACATGCATATAATCAGCTGCCCGAACAACTGTCCTGGTGGCTGCTATGGGTTGCTTGAAGTAGGACAGGAGGTCCATGGGGCTGGCAGAGCCGCTGCGAAGGCGCTGCTTGATGCTGCCCGGGAAATGAGGAGGGAGGGCTGGAAGAAGGTGCAGAGCCACCCAGTAGAGCCCCAGCCCAGAGGGTGAGTCATCAGCACAGGGCAGGCAGACCAGGATGAAGGGAGGGAGGTTCTGTACCAACCATGGCAGTCCCATGGCACCCAGGGGTGGGTGTTGGGTGAGATGAATGGCTGGAACGACCCTGCCCCACTGACCCTCCCAGGCCCAGGCAGCCCCCAGACCCAGGTCCACCTCTTCTGGGTCCGATTGTAGGCAGCATCCACCAGCAACTTGGCCTCTGCTATGCAGTCCTGAAGGAGCGAGTTCTCCACCGCCCTGGGGGTGGCTGTTCAAAGGGGTGGGGACTGAAGGTCTAAGGAGCCAGAAGACCCCACACATCCACATGCTTCTCCGCCATTCCCCTCCCCTCAGACTGTCCCTCTTCCTTGGCTGTCCAAGGGGCTGTTACCTGAGACAGTGCTGTCACCGGGGTGAGGGAGGATGAGTGTGGCTAGGACCCCAGCCAGGCCCAGGAGCAGCCGCATCTCCATGGTGAGACCTCCAGCCACAGCTGGGTGAGAGATACCCTCAGCCTCAACAGGGTGGGAGTGGTGTCCCTTGATCCCTTCCTGCCCAGAGGACCCCYAGGTGACCTCTCACTGACTCCTGCTCTTCTCCAGAAGTAGCTGGGAAGGGGCTTTTATATTCCATCTTGGGGTGGGGAGGACAGCTCTGGGCCACGGGAGCCCCGCCCCTTGGGTGGAGCTCTGAGCCCTCTGGTTTCCAGGGGGGTCATTGGAACACTGCACCCCACCTGACCCTGAGTCAAGGGATGCATCCACCTGAGTCAAGGGATGCATTTCTCCCAGGGCCAGGAGCAGTGCCTGGGACACAGGTCTTGCCTAATCCATATCTGCAGGATGACTGAGGAGGAGTGTGCCTCAGAAGGGGACTGGACTTGGCCCCGTCACTCACTAGCTGAGGGCCTTCGGGCGAGTTACTTTCCCTCTGCAGGTCTCGATTTCTGCATCCTAAAATGGGAGTTGGGCTAGATGGTTGGAAGGGCTCCTCTCCTCCCCACCTGGGGTCTACCTTACTGTTGTATCCCCCTCCCAACACAGCACAAGTCCTGGTATTCAGTAGGTGCTCAGAAGTAAATATTTGTTGAGTGAATGAATGATGTGTGATCAATGATTTGACTCCTCCCCTCACCTTTCCAKCCCTATCAGGTCCTTCCAAGGTGGCTGGGAGGGGGCAGTGATGGCTGAGGCAAAGCTTGAAATACCTCTTGGGGCTATTTGGGGTCCCAGTAAAATGTCACAGGTAAAATACTGGGTGAGGGAGCTGAGGACCTGCAGGACTTTAGGCTTCTCCAGGTGTTTCCTCTGCACACAGCAGTTCTGGGTTATTCTTAGCTTCCTCTGGGCTGGACTAGAGGTAGCTTGTTGCTGTGGCTCAGACTGTCCTGAGTTTCAGTCTGGCTCCATCACTAGCAGTGTGGCTTTGGGGGAACCCCCACTTCCAAAGCTTAAATGTACATGTACTCCAGGCAGTCTGTCCCTGAGGGCCCATTCCTCTCACACCTCTGTCTTTGCCTGCCTTGCCTTTGGCCCTTCCTTGGGTGGACATGTCCATTCTTTACTCAATGTGGACCTTGGACTCGCTCCAGAACCCCACAAGGGTTCCCATCATCCTTGTCTCCTCCCGCCCTCCCCGTTCCACCTCAACCTGCCCAGTGCCCTCCCTGCCCCCTCCTCCCACAGCCACGACACCAGCCTCAGCAGTTGCTCTTGACACAGCCACTTGCTTTGGCAACTCCTTTCACAAGCTCCAGGCCCCCCCGATCTTATCTCCTGCTTTCAGCAGAAGCCCCTGACCTATGACAAAGGGCCTGCATGGAAAGTCATTGTGTAGGTGCTGAAAGTGCAGTGGGTTCCTTGCTGACCCACTGGGTGACTTTGGGTAAATCACCACCCCTTACACACACTGGACCTCAGTTTCCAAATCTGTGAGACAGAACAGTGATCCTAATGTAGGAGAGAGCTCTTTAAGATTGTAGCATGATCCTCAACCGTGGGTCACCTCCCTTGTCCCCAGGAGACCAGATGCCTTGGGTTGGAGCCAGGTGGGGTGTCTGAGGCCCAGGTCACCCTCCTCCCAGGGTCTCTGCACTCAGAGTGAGCTCTGCTTTTCTACTTATTCAGCAATATTGAGTTGTGCAAGGGTTTGGCCACAGCTATGAGCCCAAGTCAGAACCCTGGGTCCTAGACGCAGCCCTACCTACCATGTTGGCCAATGTCTTGGGAATTTTGACCTGTGGATTGCTTATGGTGGTGATGAGAGGAAAGCAGAAGGAAAGGGCCCACTGAGGAGCCCTGCACAGGCAGACTATGGAGGCAGGTTCTGGGGTGCTGCTGGGGCTGGGCCCTCGCATCAGGACTGGCAGGCAAAGGTGCAGACAGCAAGGCTAAAGAAAAATCAGGCCTCCTGGCCTGATTGAAGGATCCTTCATCCAACTGCTGCCCTCTCACAGGACCCTGATCCTAGGTGCTGACCACCTTGACCTTCTATCTACAAAATTCACCTTTTTTGTAACAGAGCCCCCTTTGAAATTAAAAGCCTCAACTCCCCAATTTCTTGTAAAATTGTTTTTCAGCAAATGAGTCAGTCTCCTCATGCTGAGCATGAAAACTGAGGAACTGGCCCCAAAGCCTGAGCAGACACCAGCAAAGTTTGAAAAACCAGAATTGTCCTGGGCTCAGYGGTGCAGGCCTATAATCCCAGCAGCTTGGGAAACTGAGGCAGGAGGCTTGTGAGTTCAAAGCCAGCTTCAGTAACTTAGTGAGGCACTTAGCAACTCAGTGAGACCCTGTCTCTAAATAAAATAGAAAAAAGGGCTAGGGGTGTGTTTCAGTGGTTAAGCATCAGTGGGCTCAATTCTCAGTACAGAAAGAAAGAAAGACCAGAATTGTAACAGACCTCTATCTAACACAGCCTGGCTGAATCTGCATATGTATATTTCTGGGCTATAAATTGTAACATTCCTGTAGGACAGGCAGAGGCAGGGTAGCTGCTTTCCCAGTTTCGGGCAAACTGCAATTAAATTCACGTTTGCTTTTTTTTTTTTTTTTTTTTTTTAATGGTGCTGGGGATTGAACCCAGGGCCTTGTACATGCAAGGCAAACACTCTGCCAGGTAAGCTATATCCTCAGCCCTCATGTTTTCTTTTAATAAGATCTCTCTGATTTCTTTTTTTTTTTTAAAGAGAAAGTGAGAGAGGAGAGAGAGAGAATTTTTTTTAATATTTACTTATTTTTTAGTTCTCGGCGGACACAACATCTTTGTTGGTATGTGGTGCTAAGGATCGAACCCGGGCCGCACGCATGCTAGGCGAGCGCGCTACCGCTTGAGCCACATCCCCAGCCCTCTCTGATTTCTAATGTGGGCAGGGTACTGACTAGGCCAGATGCCTGAGCCGCAGTACTAGGCACCAGGAGCCTAATGAGGTCAGTATAGAGAGATGACTACGCTGTCAACACCTGAAGCAAGCCTGAGGCCACCTCCATACTGCCAGATGGAGGTCTTTCTGTGGTCTACCTGGTAGAGTCCTTAGGAGAATCAGTGTGAATTGCTGACACCAGTGGTGCCTGGTCTGAAGCAGGTGCTCAACAGTGTTGCTGAATAAGCTTTGTTGTTTCCTTGATTGAGCTCATTTGAGGTTGTTGCCCAAGGGCAGGAATTGCCATCAACTTGAAAGTGGGTAGGTGCAGTGAGTGCTAGGGCTTTGCAGACCCTTCAGGGCTGGTCACCTGGAAGGGAGGCCTCCAAAGCAAGGGTTGTTGTCCCTGTCTCTCTGAAGTAGGGCACTGGAAATTGAGCACAAGGACAGTGATGGAGGCCCCCCTCTAGCCTTGGCACCCACTGTGTGGCCTTCACCAGGGAGCCAGGTCTTCACCGTGGTCTGCTTTGACATGTGCTTTTTCAGGGCCAGTCACATGCAGGGACCAAAAGAGGGGCCATAGTCCCTCTGCCCTTCCACATGGGCTTTTTCTCATGCTAACTGGGACCTCAGTGAAAGTTTTCCCTCCAGGATTAGCTTTGCCCAGTGTCTACCAAGAGTATGACTCTGGAGATGTATTATCTTCCATTAAATGAAATAAGTTATAGTTGGGGCTGGGGTTGTGACTCAGTGGTAGAGCACTTGCCTAGCACGTGCGAGGTGCTGGGTTCCATCCTCAGCACCACATAAAAATAAATAAATAAAATAAAAGTATTGTTCCTTGAGGACAATAGTTGTCCATCTACAACTAAAAAAAAAAAAAAACAACCATACTTTTTAAAAAGTAATAATAATGGCCAGAAAATAAATGTGTGAATTTTCTTTTATTGGACTTTGTTTATATAATCATGCCAATAAAAAATACAACTAAAGATATTACACTATTAAAAAAAGAATAATAGAGCTGGGGTTGTGGCTCAGTGGTAGAGTGCTTGCCTAGCATGTATGAGGCACCGGGTTCAATTCTTAGCACCATATATAAATAAATGAATAAAATAAAGGTTCATCAACATCTAAAAACTATATTTTAAAAAATATTGAAGTAACACTTTAATTATATAAATAGTTTTAAATAAAAGAAAAACACCTACATAGTGGTAGTTTTAATACTTAAGTCTATAATTACAGTTTCTATTTTCTTGATTTTTTTTTAGTTTTTATATGAACAATTATAAAGAGGAGAATAAATTCAATCTTTGAGATATGATTAAAATTCAGGGGTCTGGGGTTTTGGTTTTTCTCCCACGTGCAAGGCCCTCGGTTGGATCCTCAGTACCACATAAAAAAATAAATAAATAAGAGTTATAAAAAAAAAAAAACTCAGTAAACATTTAATGAGTGAAATAAGATTGACGCTTAAAAATACTCCACAGTTTGCACTCATTCACTGTTTTAAATACAATTTAAAACCACAGTGTTCATTACAACCTCTGTGTCGTCGTTGTTTATATCACATCAGCTGTTTAAACAGAATACACAGTGCTGTTGGCGGGACCTGGGACCTGTGGCTGAAGCCTGCCTGCCTGTTTTTGGACAATTAGCAGTTATTCTCAAAGCAAATACACGTAGCTGTGGAAGCCACTGAATTATTGGGAATCATCTGAATTAACTTCTATATAGAGGGCAGTGCTTATTAAGGATGTGCAATAAAAATGCACTAACTTGAAGCTTGCATGGTTTACCAATTGCAGCAATTTGGGGGACTATAGATCAACCCAAGCTCTCGTTGAGAAGGAGAATTTTTATTACTAAAATTATTTAGAATTGCCACCCGGTGGTGATCGTAGTCAACAGTCTGTCCTTCCATCTGTGTTGTGTGGTGAGCAAATTCCCTACAGACAACACACACCTTGTTTTCTAAAAAAGTATTGCTTAACATTTTCTAAGTTGTAGATGGAAACAATACATTTATTTTATCTGTTTGTCTTTATGTGGTGCTGGGGATTGAACCCAGTGCCTCACGCATGCTAGGCAAGTGCTCTACCA